TTTTTTTTTTTGGACTTTTAGAGTCTGATCGAACAGTGCAAAGAAAACATTACGACAGCGGATCAAGAGCGGTCTCAACGGGAACATGTGGAACGCACTTGCAGAGACATAATGGAGCACTTTGGAATTGAAAGTTCTTCACTACCGTGATTGTAACAGAAAGTTAAGTCAATTCTCATATTTCTTTGCAACGTTATGGTATTTTTAATCAAAGTTTACTGCTTAAGTTTTATTTGTCTAGTGTATTATAACTGTACTATATGAATCGTTAGCTACATGAGCGGTGTGCTGTTTTATTGGTAGAGCAAGTGATTACCTGTAAATGTAATCGGAATATTTTGTTTTTGACAAAGGAATTACTTTTTTGAACAGCTCAACTTTTATCACTTTTGCCGTTGACTTTCACTGTATCTGAGGGAGAAGTTTTAATGTGGAACGGTACTTGATTTTAGTTTTTAATAAAATGCTAATTCCTAAAATCATCTCCACAGCAGTTTTATCAGTCCTATTGATGAACGTTATCTGTATGCATGTTAACTGTTTTCCGGATTAGAAATTGGTGAAAAACTTTGTTTGTGCTACTTTGGGACGTCGTATCGTTCTCACGCTTAGAAACGTGAATTCATGGGTTGGTCGAAAAACACATGCGTTTACGCCAGCGATCCCACTGGAAGAAGCAATAAAGCGTGGTAGGAGTAGAAGGGGGGGGGGGAATGGAGCAAGGTAAGAGAGAGTTTGTTGTTTCTCTTTACTTAGGTAAGTGATGACTATGAACCTACCAGTGACTGCCATAGTCTTCGTTGCTTACTTTGTTTTGTTGTGAGTCCGAGTCTTGCGAAAACTAATTTAGCCGGGATTTTTGGCTCAGCTTAAGGGAGAGTTTTTGACAGGAGGACATTTATGTACTCTCCAACTTTTTGTGGGAAAATGATCGTATGAATTTAATTTCCCATCATGCTTATTCATTCATGCTGGTTCGGCGAATTGTCTTGAAAATGAAATTGTTATTTTGTGACATTTGAACGGTGCGGTACAACTTGTGCTTCAAAAATTAAGTTTATGTGTCAGCGGATTACAGAAGAGCAAGAAGTGTTTTTAAATAGAGTTGCCACCGCAAATATTTTAATATTTGAGGCTCGGCTTGTGGATGAGACTGACCTTTTGGCTATAAGCTGGTCTAAGGAGTGCAGAGAATGCTCTTTGTGGTAGAAGGTGAAAGTGGATCTGCAAAACCATATCTTACACCTTACAGCGTTTTGCGGACTAAGATTCGTGCTTTCACTACACCAAAGTTAGACCAAAGAAAAATTCAAACATTTTCAAGTCACAAATCAATAAATGTTACTTTGGAAAAAGTAGTTTTTAAAGTTTGGGGATGTAGATAAATGAATGCTGGTACCGCACTTTCACTACCACTCAAATAAAAACTTATATTTGTAAACACGTGAGGTGGATGAAACTTCATAGCGCTTTTAACAAGCGTGTAATATCTTTCACTAGGCGGGAGAGTACCGTGTCACGCTTATCAGCTTACGTCTGATTGATGGTTTTTTCTGACTTTTGATGGATAAAGGCTTATGGGGTTTTCAAAAATGCGGTAAAAAAGGACGTTTCAAACCAGTAACAACAAAGTTTACAAAAGGAATAAAAGATTTTTTTTATACGGCGTCTCTTGTTCTCATTTTTTTGACCTTCACTGTATCACAAGATCGAAACGTGTGGAAAATGCCTTTTGAGCCATTGTTTGCCATAATGATAATCCTTAACTGGGAGTCTTTTTCAGTGATATTCCATGCATATTTCAATTCATCTAATTTTTCTAATCCAAGGCACATTGAGTTATGACAATATGCTAAGGGACTGTTTTGCTAAAAAGTGACCTATCTTTGAAATTAAAATTTTTTCATCTGTTCGTTGGGAGCTGTTTTAGCGATAGGTAGGGGAATAGTTGGTATTTTTAGTCTTTTTAATTTATAGGAACACAGAGGAACTGATGACTGGTTTTAAGGAGGTGGCGGTGGAGGGCAACAGTACCGTTCAAAACGTTACGGGACAGAATATTATTTAGTAATCATATCTTGCTTATAACACAATACCGTTCGGCTAGCTGCTGAGATAGCTGTTGTATTGTATCTGTTCTTTCAAGGAAACGTTAGTGTGTTCTGCTTGGTGAACTTTTTACAAGGACGGATGTAGTATGAGGTTTTAGGATGAATGCAGGTGAGAATTTATAATACCGTTGTTCGGCTTTCAAAGGAAGAATTGATAATAAGTTTTGCAAAAAATAGCAATAAAATGAGTTGTATTGACACAAGGTAAAAAATTGCGGGCACTCCATGGTTACAGAAAACGCCTCATGTAATTATAGTTTTTGCAGGGTTTCTTTTTTAAGATTTTTGTTTATCAAACATTAGTCCAGATTTTTATTGTAGACAATGATACCACTTTTTAATACGCGCGTATTCTTTTGTACAGATTTTTCCGTGGTTCGTCCGAAAAT